TAGCTTTTTTCTTTTTGCTTATGTGGTGCTGAGGAATCAAACCCAGGGCCTCAGGCATGCAAGGCAAGCGCTCTACCACTGAGCCACCTTCCCAGCCCTGGGTCCAATATTTTTGCACTGGGTATCAAGGGGATAATTTGCCTCATTCTCCAATTCTTCCTTTATCCAAATAGCATCTGAACTTCTCATATTTACTCCAAATCTACACCTGTCCCTCTCATTCTTCCTTCTCTCTTTTCTTACCTTTAGTGTGAGGCATAAGAATTTATAGCAGCCATTTTATCAACTCCTAACTCATCCATAAACTGTGTCTCACCTAGAGATAATGGGAGCCTTCTTCCTTCCTTTAAATTTGTCAGAAAGAATCTTCCTAAATCCACGGCTGCTTTGACTTTTCATCCTTATTTTTAAAGCGGGAGGCAGTAAAATTTTATTTTCATTTTCTTCCTCAACACTTCCTGCTAAGCTAAGACTAGATTTTTGTAGTAAAGGCAAGTATCATTACTGATTTTCATGATTACCTTTGTCTTGACGGAGCTTCAAACAGGACAGGAATATTTTAGGGTTTATTAAGTCATAATTTTGAATCTTTTAGGACATACTAGTAGATAACAGTGACCAGGAGCCTACACATACGAAAGTTAAAGATGTGAAGCCCAAATGTTGAAGATCCAATAGTCAAACTCCCATACTAATATGCTGTGCCAAAGGTTTGAATGGGTATCTTAGCATTATAGGGAAAATGAGAAAAGAATACTGGGACTGATTTTTGTATCTCACAAGAAGACCCAGTAAAGCGAGACAAAGTGAAGAAGGGGTGGAAGAGAAAGCAGTACCTGATTTGGTTTTTACTTACTGCAGCAATGCTCAAAATGTTTTAGCCAGCCGGGGACTGGTGGCCCTTACCTGTAATCCTAGCTACTCAGGAGGCTAAGATCTGAGGATCACAGTCTGTAGCCAGCCTGGACAGGAAAGTCCTTTAGATTCTTTTTTTTTTTTTTTTTTTGGGTCTGGTCGTGGGGCCTGAACTTTGGGCCTGGG